TTTATTATTAGCCAAACACTATACTAGGCACTGACACATAAAAAAAACAAAAATGAAACTAGTCCCCTCAAAAGTTTTTATTGGCAGGAAACAACATATAAACTAAAATATTTAGAAATAAGATATGTCCTACTTAGCCCTCTTTTCTTTTTTAATTGATTGGCCATGTTCCTGACATGAGAATTGAAAGAAAAACTGGAAGAATGATTTTTGATCATTCTGGAACATGAGAGAGCAATTGTTCTTTCAACCCTCACTGAGGATCTGAGTGAACTCTGACTCTCATTGGGGATGATACTTTGCATTAGGGGGAAAAAAAAACATGACTTGTACATGATGAAGTCAAGGGTTAACTTCCTGTCCTCTTCTGTTATCCCTGGACTCAGGCTTCTGAGCTTCTTAGACTGAGAGGAACACCTAGAGCTGTGGTTGTGGTCACTGCTGCTTCTATAAACATAAGAGGCTGATAACTGTGGAATCATGGGGAAAACCCAAACAACTGCTTCTCTGAAGCCGCCCTGCCCTAAGTGTGAGTAAAGTGGATGGAGGTCAGCACAGGGGATGAGGTCTTGATCCTGGAGCAGCGATATGATCAGAAACCATAACAAAAATTCAGAATTTCACAGACCACAAATTTATTGTGAATCCCACTGGAATGGTGAACTGGTGGGATAGAGGGAACACTGATTTCTCTTACTATTTTATCTGTTTTCCTTTGTTTCGAGTCCATCATCCCTTTCCTTTCTATGCCCTTTGCTTATTCATTCATTCAATAAATATTTATTCAGTGTCTTCTATGTGCTAGGAACTGTGCTTAGTAGTGGAGATGCAAAAAGAGGCAAAATATAGTACCTGCCCTCAACGAGCTTATGATCTAATAGGGGGGATAACATGCAAACAATTATATACAAAGCAAACTATGTATAAGATTAACAGGAAATTATTAAAAGAAGGAAAATCCTAGAACTAAATGGGGTTCAGGAAGGCTTCCCGTAGAAGGTGGAATTTTAGATGACTCTTAAGAGAAGCCAGGGCAGTTAGTAATTGGCGTAGAGGAAAAACATTCCAGGCATGAAGCAGTCAGAGAAGATGCCTGAAGCTGAGAGGTAGAGTACCTTGTTTGTGAAACAATCAGAAACCCAGTGAGTTGAAGAGAATTTTGGGGGGAGTAAGGTATAAGAAGACAGGAAAGGCAGAATGGGGTTAGGTTATGAAAGGCTTTGAATACCAAACAAAGTATTTTGTATCTATTCCTAGAGGCAATAGGGAGTCACTGGAGTTTATTAAGTGGAGTGGTGGTGGTGGTGGTGGTGACATGATCAGAGATGTATTTTAGGAAAATCACCTTGGTGGATGAACAGAGAATGAATTGGAGTAGTAAGAGACTTGAGGCAGGCAGACCCATTATTAGGTTACTGCAGTAATGCAGGTGCAAGATGATGAGATGTCTGTTGGAGATGTGAGACTGGAGGTCAGGAGAGAGATTAGGGAAGTAGAAGTAGATTTGAGAATTATCGGCAAGAGATGATAATTAAATCCATGGCATCTGAGGAGAAGACCAAGTGAAATAGCATAGAGGGAGAAGAGGATCCAGGTAAAAGTCCTGAGGGCAAGGTTTGGATGTATACAGTCACAAGTCCCTGTAGCCACAACAAAAAATCTGGATTCCATTTCCTGATCCCCCAACCCCTTTTCCTTGCTAATGAATTCTCCCTGAAAATGACTTTTTAGACATTACTCAAATTCTTCTATAATTTTAATCCTGCTCTCCTAAAATGTTAACTTGGAAAGAGCCCGGGGTATTTTGTTTTTTCCCTTCTATCCCCATTCCCCAGCAGAGCAGAGTTGCTTTTGAAGATAGCTGGGTAGTGTTGAAGGTAGCAGTGATTACAGGGCTGGGCCTTGAGTGGAAAATACTTGAGCTCAAACCCAGCCTCAGACACTTATCAGCTAAGCAAGTCATTTGACTCTTTCTCAATTTCACTTCACAGCATTTTTGTAAGAAGAAGATGAGATCTTTGTAAAGTATTCACAGACCTTAAAGTTCTATATAAATGCCAGCTGTCATTGTTATTAATGCTGGTGGTAGTGTTGGTGGTGGTAGTAGTAGTAGTAGTAGTAGTAGTAGTAGTAGTATTTATATAGTACTTGGTGTGTATATAGAGATAGAGTTATATAGATACACATATACATACACATATTAAGGTCTTAACAAATGTCTGTTAAATGAATGAATAAGTGAGTGAATGAAGTCAATCAGAAGGAAGTACAGAAAACAAATAGAGGTGAATGCCTCAGTAGAGGAATCCTTGATCTGGTTTTTTTTTTCCCCTTTTCATTCAATACACAATAAATTTGTGATCGCAGCATGCTGTCTCTAGGTCTGTGGATGCAGGGGACTGAAAATTGAGAGAAGAGATCCTATACAGGATGGGGCTACATGAGTTATGTACAAATAGTAGAGCTAATATTTTAATACACTGAACAACATTCCACTTCATCCCCTGGGTTTATTTCAGACCACTTTATGCAGAGTTAACCCAAATTACTCAACAATACCTCAAAGCATTGGCTTCAAGGTGGGCGACCACTCAAGGCATTTGCAATTTGAGTGCCTTTTGATAGCAAAATATTGGAGCCTCTGGCTGTCCTGTGCCAGAGAGAATCTGACAAAGTCCCTGTTGGCCCAGTCATTCAGGTAGAGTATCACCTGGTAGATAATGGAGACATCTGCATTCTTGTTGTATAACTGTAATGTGGGCCTTCTTTGTAGGCATGAAGAAGACAGTCCTTGAGGCACATGATCTAGGTGCCCCCATTGGAGGGAAAAGTAAATACATAGCAATAAGGGGAGTGGTGGAGAAGAGGTCTAGTAGAACAGAATAAGGGCATATGAAAAGGCCTTAGGTAGGAATTGGCCCTTGAGCTCAACTTTAAGAGCTTATGGGAGCCACTTGATAAGAAAACTATTTTAGGCATGTTTAGGCTCTTTCTAGGATTATAGTTTTATCCAAACCAAATGGAAACAACCCAAGTGGAGGCATAGTGTCTAATCATTATTTTTCTGAGCCTAGAACAGTGGCATATACCTGCTACTAAATGAATATCCCTTCCTTTGAAGAATAGAGTTAATTCATCCCTCTATACTGAGTTTCATTTTAACCTTGCACTATGTGGATGCATGTCTTTTTCATGGAGTGTAACATCAAGCAGTGAATGAAAATTAATTTGCTCTGAATGTTAGATTGAGAAAGGAGTGTGAATGAATGTTATGAATTAAGTAAAGACTCTTTTGAGTCCTAAGCATGCTGATCATTCCCTAAAATCATCTAGTATGTCTAAAACTTCCTTAAATTTAGTTTTTATACAGGGAGACACACACAGAGACAGTCAGACAGACAGAAAGACTGAGAAAGAGACAGTGACAGGGAGACAAAGACATATGAAGGTAGGGAGAGAGAAAGGAATGGAAAGAAAAGAAGAAAGAGAGAAAGAAAAAAAGGAAGGAAGGAAGGAAGAGAAGGAAAAGGAAAGACAAGAAAGGAAAGAAAAAAAGAGACAAGAAGAGAAAGAATTTAAAGCTATGGATTTATTGCAAGTACTCTGGCTCCCAAAGTGTTTCCATTTTTCTCACTCCCTATAGAGCTACTTTAGAATAAACCTGTCAGGAAACAGGCAGAGATGAGTACTGATTTATTAATAACAGTAAAATGTGACTTAGACTTCAAGATACATTAAAATTGGTGAAGGATCACTTAAGTCTAGGGAATGGACCATTGTTTCTATGTTCAGAATGATTCCCTAAAAAAAGCAGACATAAGATAGAGCAAGTGAGCCATTAGCTTAAAAAAGTAAGAAATAAAGAAAAAAACATCAAAAAGCATCATTGATAAACATTTTCTGTCAAATTTCCACCAAAGGATAGGGAGGTAATCATGTTTAAACCTTCAAAAGTCCTGCTGAAATTAGAACAAAAAACTAAGTGAAACCTCTCATTTAACCCTTTTTGCTAAGTGTTGAAAGAAAACCTGCAGAGAGGACATTCTGGTGTCCCCTGGTAATCAAAATGAAGGAGTCCTGAAGGAGAGACTTGTCCTCTGTTTTGCTGACCAATTGTACAAAAGCATGTTGCTCCTTCTTCTTGTAATAGATTTGCATTCTAACATTAGTGATCTAGTCACCAATATTGCTACGTGAGAGCTAATGGTTTTCTTACTACTAGAGAAGCAAATTATTTTTATCTCAGGTTATGCAAACTTTTACAGACTCATGAGGTTATCTCACAAAATATGTGTAACTTCTCGGGGAAAATGAAGGTAAAGGAAGTCTGAAGAGAGCAAAAAGGACAACTTTTTATTCTGATTGGTGGAAGCACAATGAATGAAACAGTTAATTTGACCTGACCACTTTTTTTTCCCATGTCCCCAATATTAACTCTTTTTTTTCAAATTTTTAAACATTTTTAGCAAAAGTTTTGAGTTTCAAATTCTATCTCTCCCTTCCCTTTCCCCTCCCTGAGATGGTAAGTAATCAATTATAGGTAATACATTTACCACTTTTTCTTAAAGCATCACTAATCATTACAAATGGAAAGAATTATCCAACCCATTCAATCTGACCCCCTAACATTCGTTTCAGGAAGCTAGCCCTTTAACAGTTTGGTTATTTTTTCCCCTCCCAATAATAAAGGTCATGCATATTTTCTGCTTCACTGAGCCCCTAATTTATATAACTATTTGAGTCACAAATGCATTTTAATAAGCTTCTGGTATTATACCTAATTTGACATATGGTTTTATGAAATTCCATTTTGTAGCCAAATTGCTGAACAAGCTGTAATAAAGATACTGTTTATATTATACATTAAACACTTCTACTTCTTCCAGGCACTCTATTGAAAATCTCAGAATTCAGCAAAGCAAAGAGAGGAGTTATAATCACTTAAAAATCTTTGTGCAGTTCAAAGAAAAAAAAAAAGGCCATCCACATGGCTCACATACCTCTGTAGCAAACTGCTGCAAGCCACCAATATTAATTGGTCCCTCTTCTGTTGCATGTAAATTGCAACTACCTACACACAGATCTGAAGTTGGACACACCATTCCACAAGTCAGACCAAGTGGATTGTCTGAAAATATCATCTTAGCCGCCCCATAGTAATTCTGCATATAAAAAAAATAAACAATGCTGTAACATAATAGAAAAGTGAGGATATAGGAAACATAAACATTTACAATATTTAATTTATTAGCTATATGATTTGATGATCATTAAGGGTGTAAAAATGTCTCTGTAGTATATGGTACTACATACCCAGTGAAGATTTTAATGAATCATCATCATTTAGTAATATTTTTTAAGTTTCCCTAATTGACGATGATTAGATAAAATTAGATACTATTAACCATTCATGAATCTTATAAAATATTTTCAATATTTAAATTATTTGAAGTAATTTTAAATTCAGATGCCATCTAAATATATGTTGACTGTAAATACCTAATTTCATTTTTAACAACAGTAATTTCTGTCCTTTAAATTATTTAGACTACGGAAATATATGGAGAAAAATCCAAATCTGAGATTGTTTAAACTGATATCTTTTCTAGTTGACCTCTGAATTACTCTCAATTCCTCCACAGTTTTCCCTTGTTAACTTGTCCTGAAGTACTAATTTCCTTTCTTCTCAGGCCCTACTCAATTCCAGTAATCAGTTTATATATTTCACAATATAATTTTAAAGTTCTGTACATATGTAATGCCAATTTATGTAACCTTGTTCTCTGTAAATATGATACAATTTTCTGAGTACTCATAAAGCCTTTACCACTCACATGCAATCTGATGCAGAACCACATAAAATAAAGAACCAATGCCCATCGATCTCCTAAAACAACCTTAAAGCAAGCCAGTAAAAGCCACTTAGCTCTTCCATATCATTCTCCTTCTATATTACCTGTGTGCATTTCTTTTTTTAAATTTTTTTTGTTTGTCCTGAAACTCTTTTCTTTTTTTTTATTATTTTTGATTTATCAATAATCACTTCCATATGCTTTTGAGTTTAAAATTTTTCTTCCCCTTCCTCCCCACCACCCTCCCCAAGACGGTGCACAGTCTGATACAGGCTATATATTTACATTCATATTAAACATATTTTCACATTAGTGATGCTGTAAGTAGAAATTAAAATCAATAGGAGGAACCATCAGAAAGAGGAAACAAAACTCAACAGAAGAGAAAAAAACTAGCAATTCAAATTCCATAGTTCTTTCTTTGGATATGGATAGCATTTTACATCACAAGGCCTCTGGAGATATCTTAGATCCTTGTATTGCCAGGAAGGGTTAAGTTTATCAATATTAGTCTTCATGCAATGTGGCTGTTATTGTGTACAACATTTGCTTGGTTCTGCTCACTTCACTCAGTATCAGACCATACAAGTCTTTCCAGGTTTTTCTGAAGTCAGCCTGTTCATCATTTCTTACAGCACAATAGTACTCCATCACATTCATATACCACAACTTGCTCAGCCATTCCCCAATTGATGGGCATCTTCTCAATTTCCAATTCTTTGCCACCACAAAAACACGTGTGCATTTCTATTCCAGTATTCACAACCACTCTCTAGTTGAGATAGAATCCTGGAAATTCAGAGGTTCCAAACCTGTGTCCACTTTCGCTTTTGTCTCTATCCTTTGCCATCGTAGACCTTTTAACTTTTTGGCTTTTCCTTCAAAATGATAAAGTATATAGCTCAGAAACAGTGATGATTGATCAGTTTCAATATCTGCCAAGTTCGAAACCATTTAAATAGAAATTATAAATTTAACTTTAAAGACATGAATTCAGTATTGGAGACAGAACAGAATGTCCTTGGAAGGGAGAAGGGGAGAAAGGAGAAAGCATCACCATACTCCATCTCCAAGGTTCAAGTAGCCACAGTACCTCTATTGTTGCCTTTAGGTAGTATTTTTATTGCTTAGACAATCTCCTCACGACAGTTACACAGAGTTCTCTCAATCTTTTCATCTTATGGTTATCAATGGCTCCTTGTTTGAATTAAAGAGAGAGTCAAACCAAAACTCAAATGCCCCTTGCTGTCTGGCTGGTTATCAGCTCAAATCTCTGCCCTTTACTTGCCCCTATTTGAGACTACCTCTCCATCTCTTCAGATATCTTCTCCTGCAGGCAAGGGGAAACAATGTCTCCTTGAGATATAGCCTCTATTCAGTCAATGGGTCATAACAAGACAAAGAATTCCATTCTGGACAGCAGAACTCCATGCCCATTGTGCATTTTTTCTTTGTCAGTGAGACATCAAGAATTACAATAGGATAATAGATTTAGAGCTAGAAGGCTCTTAAACATCAAAGTGTCTAATCAACCCCCTATCCCATTTTATAAGTGAGGAAACTGAGGTTCAGAAAGGTAAGATGACTGACAAGGTAATACATATTTATTACAGGCCTACTATACACCAGGCACTGTGTTAAGCACTGGAGATACAAAAAATAAAAGTAAATACAGACCCTGCTTTCAAGGAGCTTACAATCTAGCAAAGGAAGACATTACATGAAAAGAAGGTGGAAAATGGGAGTGGGGAATGGGAGGTGGGAAAAGACACCTTGCATGATGATGGTAGAGTCCACTCCAAAGAATGCAGCTGGTCGGAAATGAAGAGTAGGCAGGGCTTATAAGCCATCTTTAAATGGAGGCTTTGAGAGCAGTATTTTGTTCCAACCTTGAGTCCTCCAATGCAAGGGACAGCACCTGCTTCTAAAGAGGAGGTCTGATAAAGTCACCCCCTACTCAACAAACTTTAGTGGCTATCAACTCAAGCATCAAATATGAAATTCTCTGGTTGGGACATAAAGTCCTTGATAACTTGCCCCTTCCGCCCTAGCCCATGTACTCTGTTATCCAATGACACTGATCTCCTTGATATTCCTCAAATAAGATACTCCATTTCTCTATTATGGTCATTTTTCACTGACTGTTCCCACGTCTGAAATATTCTCCCTCTTCATATTCACCTCCTGGTTTCCCTGACTTCCTTCAAATACCAGCTAAATTCTCACCTTTTGCAGGAAGCCTTTCCCAATCCTCCTTAATTTGAGAATCTTCCCTCCAAGGATTATGTCCAATTTATCCTGTACATATCTTGCTTTCAAATAACTGTTTGCATGTTGTCTTCCCATTAGACTATGACCTCCTTGTCTATCTTAAGCAGTTTTTTAAAAATGCCCAGAGCTTACCATAATGCTTGATACATAGTAAGCACTTAATAAATGTTTACTGGTTAACTGACTGATTGATTCAGGAAATGCATGTCAACAAACATTTTTTAAAGAGCCTAATCTATTATATGGTACTGGGATAAGTTATCACAAAGACCTCTGGAATGGAAGTTAGAAGATTCAAGTTAAAATCCGGGATTATCTATTCCAGTCCCGTGTGACACTGAGCAAATCACTTCTTTATGTCTCAAATGTCTTCCCTATAAAATGACAGAGTTGGAATAGATATCTAAGGCACCTTCCAGCTCTATCATCCTAGATCCTAATTCTCTTACCAATATTTTATTTTAATTGCTCTTTGCTAAAATTCTGTAAGATATCTGCTTTCCAAATTTAGATACAGAAATAATACATTATTTCAGCAACCACTCTTTATTTCAAGGATTAGCCATCTAGGTGTGTATGTTCCCTCCCCTGGCGAAGATATCTCTTGGTCTACACGTTAGTAAGTGGCTTTTCTGGATCACTGTGTTTAAAATAATTCATCACCTCTTAGCCAGCCAACATTCTGCAGATGAGCTCATTTGAACACAGACAGGCTTGCTTTTACACAAGTGAAAACAGACCTATATTTGAAAGTGTTGCAGTTTGGTAGAACCTGTATACAATATACTTGCATAGCCTTGGGAACACAGGGTCGGCTCTCTGATGAGGCATTGCAATTGTAATTACCTGGTAAAGTATCATTACAGCAGCAAAATTTAGCCTTGGAGATTTTTAACATGTGACTTCTTGATTGCATCCTATTATTTTCTAGTACACACACACACACACACACACACACACACACACACGTACCTCACATAACTCAAAGTATAGTATGGCAAATATTTATTTTTTCTTACAACTTTCTTACACTTTTTGATACCCTCCTAGTCAGGGTGTGTTGAATCAGCTCACAGTGCTTTGTCACTGTGAACATTTATACCTTTCAAATTGGCAAACAATATAAAGCAGGGCTTATTTGATTGTTTTTCTTACTGTCTAGAGTTAAGAAAGTGATGGAGAAAATGTTAATATAGATTAAACTTGAGAGTATATTATGCCGTTTTCAGAGAGCTGATTGATAAGCATTTTTCAACACACCTCTGTCATGAGATAAGCTTTAGAAACCAAGGTTTTGCTCTTGCTATTTTAGTCCTTGACACATATATGTGAAGAATCTATGATTTCTTCAGCTTATAGGGAGGATATTTCACATATGTATGACTTAGATAATTCATAAGGAGTTGCTTGAAGCACTTTGAGATTATGACTGGTTCAGAGTCATACAACTAGTAAGTGTCAAGGGCAGATTTTGAACCCAGTTCCTTCTTGACTTCAAGTCATTATGGCATGCTGACACTATGTAGTTATGCATAATTAATAATTTAAAACCTAACAATTAAAAATACAGCTAGCCAAGTACTATACAAACAGTAAGCAATAATGAATTGTAGGGACAGTACACTATTATGTAAAAAATTTAAGAGGAAACATAAAAATTTAAGAGAAAATAATTTCCCAGTAGAATCTAACAGGAATGATATATGATTAAATTAAAACCTGAGACTACATTCACAGGAATATTGATTTGGTAATGAACCTCAATTTGAGTTCCACAGTTCACCTCTAAAAAGACAATATTGGTGGCAGGTGTCAGAGTTGTATAATGTTTAGCACTGAAATGGAGCATGGAGAGTCACTAGCCTAACTCCTTTTCATAAATGGGGAAACTGAATTCCAGGGAAGTGATGAGAGTTGTCCAACGTCCCAGACCCAAACAATGGGAGTCTCAAGACTAGAACCCAGAAACTAATCCCTTTTATCGCACTTTCCATTTAGAGAAGAAAAAAGTGAAAAGAATCAGTGTAATCAAAGAATGA